GCTACAGTCATTTATCATTCAATATATTGCTGTGAGGCCTTCCTTATATGAGTATTCGTGTCCCAAAAACGTATTTTCCGTATGATATTTATTCTGAGTCGTCGTTCTTATTCATGACATATGGGATACTGACTGTTCCCTGTATATACATATTCAAGAGTTTATTGTATGTGAAGGAAAACCATAGTTATTTGGTGAAATTGTCTAGTTTCCTTGAATACAACACAAGAAATCTTCAAGTGTTGCTACTACCTCATCACAGAACTTCTAAATATGCTCCTTCATCTACGTATAAAGGAGTTAAGCTTTTCAATCATATGCCTGATTCAATAAAATTATAAAAGAAATGGCAGCCATGTCTTTTGTAGATTGAGTATATTGCAGCCTAGATAAAGGACTTTTTGTTGCTGGTCTATTATTTGACGTATCGATGGCATTCGACGTTTTGGCATTCGTCTTCATGATCAATAAAATGCTAATTTCTCTAATTCTAAAAAAATTCTAATTTTTCAATCATATGAAATGAACATCTTAAGAATATTCATTCCTACTGATATTCCAAATTGAATGGGGCCAGAATGCATTTAGCTGATTGAAATATTATCGATGAGGCTTTTCGCTAACGCAGCATTGTGTAGAAAGCTGATGTTGAATATATCCATTTGCTTTCCACCGATATTTCGTTTATGTCTGAGCCATGCGGCGTGAAATGTTTACTGCGGTTTCCTGGTAAAGCTACAGTTTTCACAATCATTCGGAGTATGCATTCCAAGTTCGGCAAAAACGAAAATATAAACAAGTATGAATTCCAATGTGATCTATACCATTGAAGAGAATCGGTGTGTATGATATAAGCTCATTTCATAATTGATACTAAAAAAAATGCAAAAAATTCAAATGTTTCTTCATGGATATTTGCTATTGTCAAAGATTCCAACATTTTCCAAAATTTGTCCAATGTATTGTTTCGTAGCTTGATAACACAAAAATTGCTCACTACACTTGATATATCATTCGGGACTGTAGGTCTGAATATCGGAGCTTTGTAGATCTTTCCACCCACTACACCACCACTCTCCGACCCCACTGGTACATTTCCATCGATCTAACAAAATTTTTCCTCTTGTAGGAAATTATGGTTTCCGCGTGAACTCCACAGATTGGGAAATTTGATCTTTGTTTCACCTCCGACACGTCATATATTGAAACCGAAATTGAAGAATTGAATACATTCAGCAGAGTTTTACTTTTAATAGTCGGAAAAAACAGTTGTCAATATAACGGCTGTTCTTTTAGAAGTATAGAACTTTAAGTTGGCATTCGGTTGGCATTGAAGATGGCAACCGATTTTACAGCTGAGAAGTGATTCATTCTCAGTTTGGTTTGGCAATTCATCATGAATAGACTCACGCCTGAACAACGCTTGCAAATAGTGCAATTTTATTTCGAAAATATAGGTCCTGTGCGGAATACGTATCGCTCACTACGTCCATTTATCGTCGACAAAATCGTCCATCAGTGCAGTTAATTCGATTAACCATGGAATGTTTTCACACCACGCTTACTCTTATTGATGACTCGCATCTCCAGAGACGCAGTACCGTGCGTACAGAAGAAGCTATTGCTATTGTAGATCGTAGCATTGAGGAAGACCCGAATGAGTTCATCCGCCATCAAGCACAGGAATTGGATCTATGTCCATCCACTTTATGGAAGATTTTGCGGAAGGATCTTTATTTGCGTGCTTACAAAATCCAACTCGTGCAGGAATTGAAGCCAAACGATCATCAAGCAAGCCGTAGATTCGTCGAATGGGCCCAAAACGAGATCACCGTTGTTCCCGATTTTCATAAGCGAATTTTTTTTAGCGATGAAGCGCACTTCTGGTTGAATGGCTACATCAACAAACAAAACTGCTTCATTTGAAATGAAGATAATCCTCAAGTGTATGTCAAAACACCGTTACATCCAGAAAAACTGACTGTTTGGAGCGCTTTATGGCCTGGTGGAATCATTGGTCCGTACTTCTTCAAAAACGATGATTGCCGGAACGTTACAGTCAATGGTGATCGGTATATAGCCATGACTACTAACTTCTTCATTCCTGAATTGAACAACCGTGATGTCGAAGAGCTGTGGTTTCAACAAGGCGGCGCAACATGTCTCTGCGGATAAACCACAATCGTTTGACCATTTGGAAGACAATATTCGCCGTGTCATTGTCGATATCCGGCCACAAATGTTGGAAAAAGTCATCGAAAATTGGACGTCCAGATTGGACTACATCCGAGCCAGCCGTGGCGGTCATATGCCAGAAATCATATTTAAAATGTAATGCCACAAAATTATCTTTCGAATAAAAAATCATTCTTGTCAATCGAATGATCCATCGTTGTTTTATTGCAATTTGAAGTTCTATACCTTCTCCTATAAAAAACCACCCGTAAGTTGCATTGAAGTTTGAATTCTGCAAACTTGAGAAATGAACGAACAAAGTGGAAGTGTCAATTTAAGGCTTTGGTTGAACTTGAGAATCAGGAGATTAAAGCTGCGTTTTGTCAAGGAAATGACCAATTCATAACGAAGCCTCTGTAATGCTTTTACAAGTGATGCCTTTCTTATGTGGCTAAACAGGCTCGAAACGTGAATCAACAGGTTCTCGGTATCAGACACGGTATCCAGAAAATTTTCTATTTTTCTCCTGAATAATTCAGTTGCCTGTTGGATATGTTTAGGTCTTTCAATATTTTCAGCGAAAACAGGCTCTCCCCATGGAAAAAATCTTTATTTCAATTGACGTTCCGTTTTGTTGTTTATGTTTCGTTGCGAATTTCAACTTCGTAAAAACTAATAATTGTTCGGACAGACTTGTAATTCGTATCGAAAAGTCATCTGTAATAATGATTTTTTCAATCGAAAACCTGTTTTTGCTGAAAAATATTATAAAAACTGAACATTTTCAACAGCTAATTATCTAATTTTCATATTTAGCGGCTAATTGATCATATCCGCTCATAACGAAAGATCGATGAATAAATAACTTCTAGTTATACATAAAATACATGAAAACTTTCAATCGAAAGTTTGAAACATTTCGAATAAAACTCTCAGTAACCTATCTACACAAATGTTTTCAACAAATACGTAACCAATCACTTTAGAGAGTGAATATTAAGTGGGTTACGAATTTGTTGAATGAAAGAGTATTTGAATTAAATGTACGTACTTCTTCGTACATCTTCTACGTACTCTCAATGTTTTTTCACGAGAAAGTAATCTTGAATTCTCGGGAGAGTTGATGCGGATGATTGTGTGATGCGGATCATCTAATTGCATTAACAAAAAATCAGACATCAGCAATCTGAGCTGCATCTACTCAAGCCTGATTCAAATGGATGACGACATGAGAAACCTGCGATTCTTCAATAATTATGAGGTGACATATTCATAACCAACAATTTCCATTGAATCACAATACATGGTGACTTGATTCCAACTGTGAATCATATTCGGTATTGAATTAAATTGAACTCTTGGCTTAATGTTTCACGATTTATTTAACAATATGAATAGTCAACATGTTTCGAGCGTTAGCTCATTTTCAAGGCTGAAAATGAGCTAACGTTCGAAACATGGTGACTTCTCATATTGTTAAATAAATTGTGAAACATTAAGCCAATAGTTGAATTTAATTTGATATTCAATTATGTTTCACCAAGAGTTAAGCGAAAATTCAATCTCAGTTAATCATATTCGGTGCATACAGTGCGGGTACGGCAATATAACACCTCGAACGCACACAACGCGCACAGAAAACTTTCTATGTTCACGACGATGACATCCCAGAAATGTCACTGCAATTGTCAACCGTTCATTCAACTCAATATTTCACCTTTTCGCTTTCAAAGCAACTGTTTATATTCAATCTCAAAACAATTTCTACAGTGCCAATCACCAACATATTTCGCATAAGTCCAACAAATCCAGCATTGTGTAAGTTAGGTTTATATGTATAATGTTATCTTGTAGTATGTACAAGTAGAGCATGATTTTTCATCTGCTTCTTTATTTATAGATGTCCTGATGAAGAAACTGATAAATTGCGAAAGCTCAACAGTAAACAATAAATAGTAAACTAATTACCTAACTAAGTACCTTTGAATTTCTCCCAATAACCAATCAACCAGTATATATATATATATATATATATATATATATATATATATATATATATATATATATATATATATATATATAAACGTTCACATGATATTCGGTATGAGATACTTTGGATACAAAAATTCCGCAATACAAGTAACCAAATTACTTTCCAGGTAATATTTTCTGTCGACTTCGTGAATATATCTCTTTATATGTTCGTATCTTTTCTTCTCTTGATTGCGTTCCATCCAAAAGAAATACGACTCTGAGAAACGTTACATCATTGACATATAACAGAACAGGAAGATAAAAGCGAAGTTATCGACGATGGAAAAACGACAGACCGTCCTACTTTTCTCGGTCTCCACTTGCTGTTACTCCGTTCCCTTCCCTCGGGAATCGGTAATCTAATTTCGGTAAACCAACTCTGAAACTCTTGACGATATACATTAAATGTTGGAGCGAGGGAACACAGATGGAGCATTGTCTTTTTGCTGGGAAACGATTCGAAGTTTACTCGTATTGGACCACATTCGCTCAATTCTGACTTAAATCAGGTTAATTTATGCACTTTGAGGTAATGGCGGAGAATTCGAATCGGATTGTGCTATTCCCATGTAATAGAACATTTTAGAATGATTTTGCATCTTCCAAGATCCCCACTATCTATTTATTTACAAGTTGTAACAAAACAATTTTTATTAATGCAGTAGATCTACAGTTTAAGGTAGATCTACAGTTAAGAGCGGCCAATGAGCCGTAATGAATGTAATCAATGTAAATTTCTCAATATTTATCTTGATTAAACAACTTAAATTAAAAACCAAAACAAACACCCATGCCTTCATCGGGACTCGAACCCGATTCCTACCGCAACATAATCGATTGTTTTTCCGATTAAGCCACAAGGCGACCATGTATCCAAAAAACCAAAAAAATCATTGATAATATTATCTATACATATATATATATATATATATATATATATATATATATATATATATATATATATATATATATATATATATATATGAATTCCATGGTTTCCATAAGTATATTGTGGTAAGCTTCACTTAATTTTCAGTGTTCGTTTCATGTCAATCGAATCAAAAATGAAGAAGTTATGCCAATTTGAAGTATCACGTTAAACTCATTGCACGATTGGGCCGATACTTGATGAAAATCTAAATACATAATTCAAATAAAACTAAGTCGTTTTTCGATTTTCACTATAATTAATTCAAAACATGACAATATCGTTTCGCCAACACAGTGACTTCATCAGATGTTGATGATAAACTGAGTAATTACATTGTGGACTGCGTATATTTATCCTGAAGTGCGTGGGGTGGAAATGACCATAGAACATTAATCTTCTTTTACAGGGGAATGACTATAAAACATATTTCTTCTGAATTGTTGGGGATGACCATAGAATACTTTCTTCGATTTCATTTTTACTGGAATAAATTTAATACCGGTGAATTATTGATTAAAACTTGATCATCTGATAATTCTTCGATTTATTCCTCTTATTGATTTTCATGGCTTCTAACAGGGTTAGTTAATGTTAACTAACTGTCTGGCCATGGCAACTAACTCTGTTGGAAGCCATGGAAATCAATAAGAGGAAGAAATCGAACCGTTCATTAAATGATCAAGTTTTAATCAATAATTCTCCTTTATCACCTTTATTCCAGTAAAAATGCAATCGAAGAAAAGTATTCTATGGTCATCCCCCACAATTCAGAAGAAGTATGTTCTGTAGTCTTCCCCCTATGAAAGAAGAACAGTGTTCTATGGTCATTTCCACCCCACACAATTCAGGATAAATATGCGCAGTACACAATGTAATAGCTCAGTTTATCATCAACATCTGATGAAGCCACTGTGTTGGCGAAACGATATTGTCATATTTCGAATTAATCATAGTGAAAATCAAAAAACTACTCAATTTCATTTCAATTATTACGTTGAACATTTTTCAAACTAGCTATACCTCTCTTTTCTTTCTTTGTTCAGTAGTATTGACAGAAACTTTACTCAAATTTAAATTATGGTCCTTATGAAATTAAGTAGAGCAATACACTATCCGACTAAATATTAGATTATATAAACCTATATGAAGTTAAATTCAATGGACGATGAATCAACTCTGTATATAGTTCATATTTAAATGAGAGGTAACAAGAACCTCGAAGCTTGTATTAAAGTATATGAAATATTTTTGTGCCACCGGGTCAACATTTTTCGACCATTAGCTTTATTTCAAATTGAACCACTAAGTTTCATGAAAATTATTTAGCAATAGGTTAAGTATATTCAGTATTCATCTTTTTCGAATATTACTGTTACGCCACTGTTTCGATAACGCTTTTCTTGCCTTGGAAGGAGATATTGAACGAGGTTTAGAACCACACATCATTAAAAGTAGGACTTTCATTGAATGTTAACTTTTTTCGAGAATCTAGTCGTTCATAACAGTTTCAACGTTTTGAAAGCAGTCTTAGAAATATTATACGTAACTCTTTCTTCTTTTTAATCAGTACGAATCAACTAGCCGAAATACACCAGAGTACAATAATCGTCCAATTATATGGCAATAAACTGAAAACTTGAGTTATGAGAAGTTCATTCTCCAATTCACAATCAAAGAAGCTGAATACTCGCAAGCACTCATACCCAATTATGGAATACCATCCAAAGAAACTCCCACACCGCTCAAAATCAAAGTTCCACGAAACCGAAGCAAACAAAATGGGGCAATGAAAAGTTCAAACTTTGGTCAAGATAAAAACTTCTCGGACTTTTTGTATAAAAATTGGCATTCCCGTATAGATCGAAATTTTCAACAGTTCATTTTTCTTATCTTAACGTAGTAGATGCTGTGGTTTTGTGCAAATATTATTAAAAATAATTCCATCAGAGAACACAACCAGCGAGTTCAAAAGGCACTTTCTCTGCTAGACTTTCAGAACATATTCGCCCTTAATGAAAAAACCACTTCTCCCGTATTATTAATAAAAGTTGTTTAGCTTGACAAAGTTTGTGAGAGATGCGGGACATGCAAAAAGTACTGAAAAGTTTTAAATTCGCTTAGTGAAACCGCAGGTTTCGAACTCCACATTTTGTATTAGTTCGATAAAAATCCTCTCATAGTGGAGATTTATGATGCTCCGCAACTTCCACTCATAAACAACTTTATCTGATTTACAAATATTATTATTTGGAAACTTTTTGATTAGTTAATCTTCTTCAAATATGTTTATCTCATAAGGAAGAAATATAATAATAATACAAGCTAAAATTCAAACACTTGAACTTTTGATTTAAGATTGATTGACAACATAGCATGACACGTCTCGTTGTTACAAACGACTTCTTCAGATGCTAATAGAATACTGATTAACAGAAAATTTTACAAAACAGGTAAAAATAATTAAAAAATTTTAGTTTTTTTTAGTGAGGTTCAATTCTCGCTAAACTCTTGGTGAGACGTAATTAAATATTAGATAAAATTAAACACAAGGCTCTCAAATTCGTTCATTGTTTCAATAAAACGTTCATCTTCAATAAGTTGCCGAATCTGTGACCCATCAAAGACACCAGCCTTCATCTTCTCATATGACAAGATAGGAAATGCTGACATGATATACTCAAAACAGTCCCCTTCAGTTAAGAATGCTTTAACAAATTGCTTTATGAGACCTAGTTTTACATGTAAAGACGGAAATATAATGTTTTTTCTGTCGCTAAGTGGCTGATTTGAAATATTTGGATCACCAGGTTGCAGGCCAGATCTTAGCACTCACGACGCGAACTATCAGCGCCAGACATAAAGAAATTTTTTAGTTTATATATAAATAAGAACGAGATACTGCTAATCTTGAGTAAACACAAAATCTTGCACTACGCATCGGAAACCAGCTTCACTTTTTCAGAGCGTAAGTAAACCTGTTTACTACAGTGTCTCATGCGTAACTGACCAAATTAACCTAGAAATTATGAATCTTAACCTATTGCGCCTCATCATTACCCCCTCCAGTCATTACTGGAGGAAGTTTTGCCGACAGGAGTGCAGTAGGGTTTTCTGCAATTCGCATTCAGTTCCGCGAAGCGTACTAAAGGGTGTTTTTTTATAGGTATAGAACTTTAAGTTTTCTCTGTTTGGTTTTGCAGTTCATCAAGAATAGACTTACGCCTGAACAACGCTTTCAAATAGTGCAATTTCATTTCGAAAATAATGGTTATGTGCGGAATACGTATCACGCACTACGTCCATTAGCGATGAAGCGTACTTCTGGTTAAATTGCTACGTCAACAAACAAAACTGCCGCATTTGGAGTGAAGATAATCCTCAAGTGTATGTCGAAACACCTCTACATCCAGAAAAACTGACTGTTTGGTGCGCTTTATGGGCTGGTGGAATCATTGGCCCGTACTTCTTCAAAAACAACGATAATATCCAGAACGTCAGTAGTGATCGGTACAGAGCCATGATTACTAACTTTTTCATTCCTGAATTGAGCAAACATGATGTCCAGGAGCTGTGGTTTCAACAAGACGGCGCAACATGTCACAAAGCTCGTGCCACAATCGATTTTGAAAAACACATTTGGTGACCACCTAATTTCACGTTTTGGACCTGTGAATTGGCCTCCAAGATCTTGTGATTTAACACCGCTCACTACTTTCTGTGAGGCTATGTAAATTCATCTATGCGGATAAGCCGCAAACGCTTGATCATTTGGAAGACAATATTCGCCCTGTTATTGCCGATATACGGCCACAAATGTTGGAAAAATCATCGGAAATCTGATCGAGCAGATTGGACTACATCCGAACCAGTCGTGGCGGTCATATGCCAGAAATCATATTCAAAATATAATGCCACAAAATTACCTTTCGAATAAAAAAATTTTGTCAATCGAATGATCCATCGTTGTTTTATTATAATTTAAAGTCCAACAACTGAAGAGAGAACACTTGATATGATAGAAATAAACTGATAGTAGTTTTGGACTAAGCATGTCAATCTACCTCTTAGCAGCTCAAAAATCGAAGTCAACAGAACTTGTATTATTTTTACTTATATTATCTCTTTTGGGGGATATATGGACCAAACAATCAGACTCTTTCCACTCAGTGTACATGAACATAATTCAATGTTTGTAGCGCGTATTTTAAAAGAAAAACTCAAATTCAACAAGGAAATTCGAATATATCATGAAGAGAATGAGGAATAAAAAATTTTCAGTGATATTCTTTGCTATTTTCCAAAACAGTGTGAACAGCTCCATTTTTTCATTCATGTACTTGGATAGTTTCATGAATATCTTTCTTACAATCAGTGAATTTTACCTTCTATTCATCCTTGATTATATATATATTGAAACAATGCTTCGCGAATGTATTCGCGTTAAGATAAAAGAAATACAAGATAAGTGAAGAAAGCATTTTACCTTAGTTATGAGGAAGATGATAATTGGGCCACCCTTTCAGCAATAAAGATAACAAGATGCTTCCATTTACCTCACAAACCTACTTTCGTCCTACATTGTAAAGTTACTCCAGATAACTCAAAGTTCCTAATATCGCAACACTTATCTCGAATCTAACTATCTACTTTGTTTAGAATAAATTTAATATCCTCCATCTTACTTTCGTTAATAATGGTCGTTAGCCGTGCGGGTTTCTGAGTTTTAGAAACCGGAGTTGAGCCACTTACTTGGAGGCTCTGTTCCGTTCTCCTGCCAGATTAAGTTGCTTTTCATGTTTCGAAATATTCACCGAAAGCACCGCGGTAGAGAATTAAGTTCGTTATTTCTGCGAGTTTGATGTCATAAGTAGACAATTAAGAGAGTCTGTAGATCCTAAAATCTGTACCTCGTGAAGATGAATGATTCGTTTG